CGTGTTCTTAATTGGATAAGGGTGGATCCACTACTGAGTCTGAAGTGCCTTATACTTGTAATGATAAGCAATGAATAGGATGCATACATATCCATCATCTGTACATATGCTATAAATTCTCGAGTAAATTCGCTATTGTTAGGCAAATCCGTTTGTATGTTGATAATAGTAAATGAACTTCTTCTAACAAAAGCAGATTTACTTTTCTAGATAGCAGAGGATTTATTTTCACCAGATGAGTGTGTACTGAGGTTGTTCGTGTACTGCACGATTATAGAGTAAATTCTAGCTAATAAGTTTACAGTCTTTGCTTTTATACTAACCAACTCAACTGAGATGAGGTGAGATCATTATAGCCTAATTTATTTATTTGTAAACATACGAATTCAATAACTCTGAGGTACTTCTATATCTTTTTTATTTAGTATATGAAAATTAATTTTTTGAATAATAATAGGTGATATCAAAAAACGTTTTACGGACTGGAATATAGAGATTTACGAATCGAATTGTTGTATGAATATATAACTTAACTATTTCTGTTGCTTTCAATATCAGATGTACTACGATGTGGAACATTTACTGAATGTTTAGTTGCAATTTCATCATCTACGTCGAAACTAAACTCTAGGTGTGTAGTTGACTCATCGAAAAATTGATTCGTTGGTTTCTAACTTTCTTCTCTTAATACACATTTTATTTCAAAATTCTAGTACAACAAATAATTGGTATCAGAAAATTTCCTCAAATTTATAAAAGTTGAGATTACAGGCAAAACAGAGTAGAACATGATTGCATACAAGAAAAGACTATAAAAACGAAAATATCTGACAAAAGCAAAAAGTAAATCATAATTTGACTAAGGATAAAAAAAGAAAATGAATATGTAATGTAATACTGTTAAAGATCGTTTCGAGTAAAATGCTATCAAAGTCTCGCACTCATTCACTAATACACGAAATTTTTTGAACTATAGATATGCGAACTATTCCACTGTATAAAGGGTATCTACTAAGTTTTGATCCCCATATTAGAAAATAACATATAAATGGCATAGTTCGACCTAGAAATTGTTTGAATAACTTTATTATAGAGAACAAACATTTCGGAACAAAATGAGACATTTACGAGCGCTGTACGACATTTTTTTTCATGAAACGGCATTTCAATTTTCGGAAGGTCCAATACCACCAAAATCAGCTAAAGTAACGAGAAAACAAGAAAGGTAACTCGGAGATGTCTCATTTTGTTCAGAAATGTTTGCTCTCTATAACAAAGTTATTCAAACAATTTCTAGGACGAACTATGCCATTCATATGTTATCTTCTAATAGTGGGATCAAAACTTAGTAGACACTCTTGATGTGGAATAGAAAACGCACGAACCATTCATTTCGTTTTAGAATTTGACATGTTTTACTTTATAGGAAATTAATAATTTCTTGTATCACCTACAACTGCTATTTCGATCTTCCACAGACTTGCTTTAATATTTGTATCCCGTTTTCTTTCACGCTCTCGACTGTAGCTGCTTACCGAATAGACTTTTCACATTGAAATAAAATAAATCATGCGAAAGATTCCTTTTCTGCAACATTCTCAATTATTGCAACGTGAACTACTTTTCCATTTAACAGTAAACTTTCCTGACAACTTACTTTTGTACAATTTCTTTCAACAAACGGATAAATATGTTTAAGTGTATCACATGCAACCATTGAATTTTCTTTTAATTGTTCATACTTATGTGACCAATTTTGACTAAAGCATTCTTGATCAACATTTAAATATTTAACAGACTCAAAATAGTCAAGCGGACTTTGTGGTGCGGGTAACCAAAGATGACCTAATGGTCGTAAAGTGAGTGGAAAAATATGTAATTTTTGAACAGTGAATTGAAAATTATTTTCATGCCATAAATGAGTACGATTTTCATGATAGAATATTAAATCAACAAATGGCCATTTCCATTTATTTGTACTCAATTTTAATGATGATAAAAAATAAAACTTATAATATTCAAATAATTTTTCTGGATCCCATCGACGAAAATATTCAATGTTATAAATGTCATTTGTCTTTTTATGAGATCTAATTAAATGTTTGTGAATAGCACGATTAAGCCGTCGTTTGTCTTTAACAGACATCAACAAATCGATATCATCATCCCATGGTATTATATCATGATGTCGATAACTTCCGAGTAGAGTACCATCTATCATCATATACTGAATTTTATATTTTCGACACAATTTATCAAATAATAAAAGTAATTTCATCATTATCGAATGTTCACAGGGAGTTACTGAACGTGGTAAATTGTAGGATGTTTGCCATAGTGTGTAATCATATGGTATCGAATAATATTTCTCCGATCTTTTTGGTTGAATTATGACAATTGGATCATTCGATTGTGATGATAAATTGTTTATGTTCAGACATATAGTATGGGTTAAATTTAAATACGCTGAATTATCAACTTCACCAGTATCACTAAATACTTCAAATAAACGACGTCTAACACGTGGTTGGTCACCATCGAAAATACCACGCATTGTTGTTGTTGTTGTTGTTGTTGATGATGATAATATATCAAACAACAATGAATCATTTTGAAGATTTTCAACAAAAATACTCTTTAAGTTGTCTTCGGTAGATCCGATTGAACGAATAAATCGAGTAGTAGACGAATAAAAATATTGGACATTAAATAACATGGCAAAACAGGCTAATAAAAAAAATGTCAAACAATACTGTCGTAAACGAGTAAAGTTCATATCTCTGAAAAATGATAATAACAAAATTAGACTCAATACAAATGACAAAATAAATTTTGTTAAACTTGTTTCGAAAAAGGAGTGAAAATTTGTATAAAGAACAATGAGATAGCTGAGATTTGAAAAATACCATACATAATTTTCGGTTTGAATTAAGTATAACTACTTATGCAGTTTTGGTCTAAACTGATGAATCTCTAATGGAATTATCCTACAAAAATTTTAATTTTTCTCATTTACAAACACTAATGTACAATAACGGACGAAAAGTCAAGTTTAGGCTTTTAGGTTATCGACCATGCTGATTTCGAATATGACCATGGCGGTTCTCCATAGTCCTTCAAAGATCCGGTTTTCTGGAAAACCAGTTTTTCAAAACCACTAAAAAATAACCATAACCTTTCTTAATGAGATATGACTGTAGCCGGCAAATTTCTGATTAAAATGAGATATCTCCCAGCTCTACACGACCTTTCTTTGCAAAGTTATAGATATAACAACATAAGCCCTAAATTAATTTTTTCCTTCTTATTTTTTGTAGCTCTGGGCTGACGATGAATATGTAGGACTAACGGTGTAAATTCTATAACTTTGCAAAGGTCGTGTAGAGCTGGGAGATATCTTATTTTAATCAGAAATTTACGGGCTACAGTCATATCTCATTAAGAAAGGTTTTGGTTATTTTTTAGAGTTTTTGAAAAACTGGTTTTCCAGAAAACCGGATCTTTGAAGGACTATGGAGAACTGCCATGGCCATATTCAGAATCGGCATGGTCGATAACCGATAATTCACTAGATTTCGACTCAAAAGCGATTTATCAGTTACCTTCCCTCATCAGTACTAAGCATATACATACTTTACAGAACTCTGTATTTGAAAATAATTTTCCTGGAACTCCTCGGCAGCGCTGAGCAAGTCAGACATTTTTCAAATAGTAAGTCAATAGAGTTCTTCCAAGTCAAAACATCCTAAAAATTTGTTAAGTCAGTCATCTTACAATTCTGTCAGAAAATTTTTGTAAGTCAAGTCATTCTTGACTATCTAATCAAATACCAAGTAATATTCAAGTCGTGACATGAATTGACTTTTTGCAGCCTTAAGTACTTTTCTTTCAACCTTAATTAGATTTTTTTGTGACACGATTATCAAAAAATATTACAGAAAACCATATTAAATGAGAAAAATGATCACTGTTATATATTCACAGAGGATCACTATTACATTTTAGCTTCGTTAACATATGAACACTGTTCTTTTTGACCAAGAAACTGATGTTAGCACCACTTTTTACACATAATTTGATGTGTTTTTTCAGAACATACGCGAGAAAAGATGGAATTTATCCTCAGGTATTACTAGTGAATTTTTTTCAAAAAGAGAACTACTAGGATACATGAAAGAGTTCTCGAGAAAATGGCATCGCACTGTGTAGCAAAATCACTAAAGAGATATCTTACTGACGATTATTTAGAAGATTTATAGAGCTTCCATTAAAGCTCATTACTCTCATACGAAATATCGTCTTGAGCTGATGAGCGTCGTGCCAATATATACTATCCACGTAAGTAATGGACACAATGTCACATATCCTATGGGTCTTAAGAGTTTTCGACCTTGCCCTATTTGATGGTGCCATTGGATTCGGTTGATTCTGACTTGATAGTGGACCTCTGGAAAACTCAGTTTTTGAGCACAGGGCTTTCGAAAATATTGAAAGTAAAAATATTTGCCGTTACCATTTGATTCTTTAAATAAGCACATTCGACAGAGTCAGTGTATTGCAGTTTTGGCGGGGGGTGGCTAGTCTGTTGAGTGACTAAAGTTTTTCATTGAGTAACGCATCTTTTGACTAAAATTTTGTACTGAGTAACTCACGAAGAAAATTACTTACTCAGGTGCATAAAACACAGTTTCTCTACTTAAATTTCTTAAAAACTATAAGTCAAAATTTTTTGAGTAACTGTATGGAAACGAGGGGTTGGTATGCCACCCCCTAATCGATAACGCTGGACAGAGGTTACTTTTAGCTATTCAAAACAAGTTTTTGTTTCAGAACTCAAAATCTGAAGATTTTTGACTGAAAGTCGAAGACTCTTAGAGGATCTTTTACGATGACTAAACACAAAGTTCTAAAAATTTTATTATTTCATTATTTGATGGTAGACAGCATACACTTAAAACGTATATGATTATGAGTTTTGGACTCAAACTCGAGGTGGTTTTCCAGAGGTATCTAAGAAAACCGTCAATTCAAAAAATAGAAGACAAGGTAAATATTTATATTTAACACTTACTTCCTGTGACATGTGGGAATGAGGAAACCACATGGAAACATAGCGTATTGACTCTCCTGATCATCATAGTGATGTCTGTTTCACCATCAAACAGAAAGTTAGGTTAGGTCATAAAACCATTTTTCCCGGCCCTCAAATGCGGGGTTATCAGCCACTCTAAATACACGATCAGAAAGAAAACATACATCACCATGATGATCAGGAGGGTCGACAAGCTATGTTTTCTTGTGGTTTTTCCACTCCTATATGTCATAGGAAGAAAGTAAGGGGCTCTTTGAAAAATGAGTATCACAGAGTCGCTATATAAATTGTAGGTCTCGGATCTGCCTCAGTTTGTAGTAAAGTGATGAAACTATCTCTTGTAAGTGTTAAATATAAATATTTACCTTGTGTTCTATTTTTTGAATTGATGGTTTTCTTAGATACCTCTGGAAAACCATCTCGGGTTTGAATCCAAAACTCACAATCATATGCGTTTTAAGTGCATGCTGTCTACCATCATATAATGAAATAATAAAATTTTTAGAACTTTGTGTTTAGTCATCGTGAAAGATCCTCT